CGTGGAGATCATCGTGAAAGCGCTGGGAGTCGTGGTCGTCAATGTCGTCATAGCGCTCGAGGAAGGCTTCTATGGTCGCATAGAGCTCGTCGGGGAGAGGGTAGGGGACGGTCGTGGCCGAGAAGGTCGTGTTCAGAGCCTTCAGCGACTCGCGCATGGAACTGGACATGTTAGCGATTCCGTCTGAAGTATTACTAAGGCTACTAGAACAGCAGGTATCGCAGCTTACCCTGACATGGTGTCCTGTATCTCCACTTGCCGTGGTACAGATGCGCTACGGCAGGCGAAGTGCACGTATATGAGTGTTTACGGGTACGGAGGCAACGTCTCGGATAGATGCACGAGGGTCCAGCAGGCAGTAGGCATGTCACTGGGCATGCAGGTCCGGTCTGGGGAGCCAAAGCTTTTTGACAGCGCGAGTGCGTGGGGTGAGGATGAGGGACCAGCGAGCCGCAGCAGAGGGTTCAATGGCTCCGCCTGCTCGCAATTGCTCGGAGGTGCTTTTGCGGGAGCATGCCTCAGTGATGCGCGGCGCTATCGACCAACCCCAGAGATGCGCCAAAACAAATCTCACGTCTCACTGCCGGCGTCCCAAGAGCGCAGGGCCTGTTGGGGTTGATGATGCTAACCCGAGGTGCAGCGCCCAGTCGCGGCTAGAGGCATGCGAGAGATGCCCGTGCGTCACGGCCCTGCAAGCCACCACAAACGGCCTCGAAGCCACCATGCTTGCTTGTGCCCACCACCCCTGAAGCCATCCCATTTGCCTTCGGCCCACTCTCACCATTTCCGTGTGTAACTATCAATCGTCAATCAACGCCCCGTCACACAATTACCAGACGCGATTGCTATCCTAGTCGCTCCTGGGAGGCATCGCGTGATGCATACTCAAACACGATCAAACATCGCCAACGTATCTCTGCCATCCTATCACGGCCTCCTGCCCATATCCGTCACTTCGGAACACCCTGGGCGGCCCTGTTTTCTCACGGATTACTCTACCCAGTTCTGCGCAGCCCAAGTGGACTCGAGCAACCTTGCCATCACGGCAGCCGCTCGCCGCACCTCCAATCAGGCGTGGTAGAGAGAAACCCTTCCAACTTGAGTCTGTACTCGTCACATAAAATCACCCAATGGTTACATGTGTCAGTCATAGCTTATCTTCCGCTCCGGTCATACCTCTATATCAGAAATATTCCGGCACGGCGCATCAGGGCTCGGATCAGGAGCTATGCCACATGTGGCAGCCCTGCATGCACTCTACCTCAATCTTTCACATGTCCAACTGCAGAATACTTCACTCTTTCGAACCCTATCGCTAACCGATTAGTTTTTTCGCTGTTCAGGAGTAGTTGAGGTCGATCGCTTTCCACTGGAAGCACAACAGAATAGACTTTGGACGAGTCGTGCCGTGAAGCTACGCGGGATGCGCCGAAGCTTCTGACTCTATCCAGGCTATCGCCAATTACCGATACCGACAACATGGTAGCCTCGTACCCATACCGCGATGTGCAGCCTTGCCCCGTAACTCTCTCTTATCGCAAGGATCCCGTCGTGCTTCCGCCAATGGCCTCATGGTAGCTCATCCGCGCCATCCCGCTCATTACATTTTCCATCGCACCTTCTCTATCAAGGTCAGCGAATCGAGCGCCCTCGGCTCTGCTTCCGATCGGCTTCATAGTAATACCGCGCAATCAGGGTTCGCAAACGTGATCGCCCCCGTGGCCGCAGGCCCTCAGAGGGGCTACGCAGACCCAACGGCTTGGCCAAACCCTTGCGCTGGTCGATCATAACATGAGCTTGTGCACCGAGACGACATACCTGCGAACCTAGTCGAAAATCGCGTTATGCACATTGATCACTCCAATTCTTCCGGATTGTTGACCCAGACGACATGGAATCTCGACTCAATACTACAGTACTGCGCCTCATATAGTCTCATTCATAGTGCTTCAATATAGCACCATGTATCCAGACATGCGTCAATCACACATCTGCAACACCGTTTTGTACGGCGTCGCTTATCCGGCTAAGAGCGCACGCAGGCACATGCAGCATGGAGAAACGCTGGATGAGCTCATTTGTTTCAATGTGAGGCACAGTAAGCACGCTGCAGGTACAGTTCGGAAACTTTCCATCGAACACTTATGCATTGACTATCTGAAAGAGGTCTCTACCATCTACTTGCCTGCCACGCCGGCACCCAGCCGTCGACACGGAGTCTGCCTTTCTACTTAAGAAATACCTATGAAGGCACCGCAACGACCTGGAACTGGTAGTTGCAAAGCGGCTTCGATTTCGTCACCTCAATGCTTCCATACCCGCCTCCCACCATGGTGCTTCCATCCCAAACCTCCAACTGCACCTTGCCTGGGACCAACGTCTCCAGGCCGGTGAACTTGAACTTGTTGAACCCTGGCTTGAGTGGCTGCGTTTGGTCCAGCTTCTTTCCGCCAACGTTGACAACAGCGATGAGATTCGTCTGGCCTTTGGCGACAAGTAAGACACCAGACACGGCATCTTCAGCTGCCTTTTTGATGTCTGCGGATGGCGGCACCTCGTCGTTGGTGCACTTGCCATTGACGGTAAGAGTGTGGTGCCAGAAAGTGCCTTGGACAGGCTTGCCATTCGTGGGATACATGTTAGCTGTTGTACGATCGCCTTGCTTCCACGCAGCGATGAACGGTTTCAGAATCTGCCAGTATCCAGTATGGTCGTACCCTGTTATGACCTTCGTTGTGTTTTCGTTCAGTGGCGTCGAATGCAGGTGTCCCATGTAATGGCCCTCGCCGGCATCGTTCCAGGTCTGAAGCTGCACCATATCAGGCTGGACACTGAGGATCTGACCGAACCGGTTCTCGAGGTTGTCTTCGCCGCGACGGTACCAGTTTTGCTTATAGTCCAAATGCTTCCATTGATAAGGTGAGATGCCCATCATGAACAGCTTCTTGGCCTTGTTGGCGGCGTCGTTGAACACACGGTCCGTCGCGTCAGATACGGCGACTTTGCCTTCGTTTGTCGCAGGCCATGAGTTCCAATTGAACACACCGTCAATCGCGCCACGGTCATTGAAGAAGTTTGCGGTGGGGTTGTAGATCTCAGAGAAGCCAGGGACGACGAGGACGTTGCCCACCTTTCCTTTGAACTTGTTCCAATCGTCGTTGGAAATGGTCTCGCCACCAAATGTCGATAGGACAGGCTTGGTCTTGCCATCGGAAGGGTCCGTCATTAGAAGATAGGAAGGACGGCCCTTGTGATCGTTGAAGTACTGGGCGTAGTTCGTAGGTTTCCCCAATAAGCCTGGGTGGTGATCCATGGAAAAGAAAAGGCTGAAACCGCCAATATAGTCTGCGTGATCGAACATGTATTTAACAGTCTGGTTGGACCAAGACGCGAACTGATCTGTTCATTGTTAGCCCGGGTTTCGATTGAAGTTTTGTGGATGAAAATCACTCACCGAAGTTGAGCGCGAAGCCGTTCAGACCAAGCTCCCTCGCTTCCTCAATATCCTGCACAACCTCATCGAGATCGAGTTGACCGACCATGTAATGGGCGACACTGTATGGGAGCATCAGTATACGCTCATGTTTACGAGCGGGCAGACTTACATCGGCCTGTCAATGAGCATCCCCCGCGGTGCAACGCGGCCAGCAACAGCGCTGGCCAAAAGGCCAACAACAAAAGTAGGAACAAAGCGCATACTGAAGAAACACTCGAGTAGTTCACGAATGTTAAGCCAGCGATGTGGTTGATGGTCGACAATGCAGCCGCTCCCGTCGACTTTATAAATCTCGAATGCCGAATGATGTTAGGCCCTTCGACCGGCAACCTGCGTAAGGCGACCGACTACACAGCCCATGGCTGCTGGCAGCCTCGCCGTTCAGATCTGCAAACGGCACGAGATGAAAACTAGGCCTCCTGGCAGGGATGGTTACACTGATGGTAGTAGTTTTAGCCCCGCCGTCTTTTCCACTTTACCCGTATCCACACACACGTATACTTTTTGCGCAAGATGTCTTTCCTACTCTTGAACCTATATCTCGTGGCTCCATGGTTGAGCAGAAAATTTCCCTTCCGTCTTGGAGTTCAGATGGCAATGGGATCGATTGAGCCGACGTTCTTGTGGTAATTACAACGCGAATGCGAAACAATGACAAGGACCGTCCCGCGCATGTCCGCAACGCCACAGGACGATTAGGGCCACCAGCTGTGGACCTGCAAGGCAGTATCGGTTTTTAGGAGCTGCCGTGTTTAGATCATCGAGACTGTTAGCCTCTGTTCTAGAATAACGCGTCCACTGCATCTCTACTCGGTGTTTTGCGCGACGGGCCGTGATTGTGGATGATATGTGGATGGAGAGGGGGTTTTAAACCAATCGGCTGCTAGTGCTGGGCATTATTGTTCCTCGGTCTCCCGATTTCTGCTGCACTACGGTCCGCTTTCACGATGGGGGCCGGTGGGTTGATCAGGAATCAGATCATATTGCCGTGATTTTGCATGCTGGTGCCGCGATGTGCTGCATGGAATGTGGGCATCACTTAAGCGATTGTCCGAGTACGGGTGTATGATGCGACTTCACCTCGGCGAGCACCAGTACCTACTGTAGGTACTATCGGTTATCAGGTACCTCTTTTGGATGTTTTTATCCACCTATTGAGCTGCTGTGGTAGTCGCGACCTAGCCGCTGCATCGCTACAAACTACGTCTTAGGGTCGGACAGGTCGGCGAGTACGAGCCTCGGTCACTGAGAAGTGGAACGAGTGAGCTGTCGTGACGCAAGTTCTTCTGTTGACGGTGCATCTCGCTCGTATTGTGACGCACAACTCCAGAACGATGGGTACTGGAACTATGACATGAGGAGACGTCAGATTAGAGGAGTCAAATATCGCTTGCCTAAACCGGGAACAGACGTATATCGCATTCTCCCACCTGGTACACTTTATTCAACATCAACCTTTCCGTTCCGTTCTTCCCATAGATCCATCCTGTGTCCTCTTCCCAGTCTACTGCTTATCGCCCCTCTCACCCAGTCCCTCTTTCCCTCCTTGCACCTTTGTCTCGCCCCCAATCCCCGTCGTCCGAGTCGGCTGCGCCTGGTGGTCTGGCTGCTTCGCCGGATGGTCGTCGCCGGTCTTGTGCTCGTCAGGCGACGCACTCGATTGCTGGTCGGTGTTTTGCGTGTCCGAACGCATCTTGGCGTTGGGTGCGGCTGATGAGTTCTCAGAAGGGTCTGGAAGGTTGGAGGCAGGGTTGGGGGTGTCCATCAGCTTTGCATGGCTGGGTGTAGTGGTGAAGGCGCGGAGTTGAGATACGACAGGGCGCTGTAGTGCGCGGAGGCGGAGGCTGATGGAGGACATGGTTGGTATAAGGTTGTATTTTGCGCTGTCTTTTCGTTCAGGGCGCTTGATCGTGTACTGCTGGATTCGTGAAGCCGATTGATATCCAGAAAGTCGTGTTGGAAAGGTCATAAAGCATGACGGGTGTTGTGGGTTCAATCGTTGCACAAAGATGTGATGTCATCGTGACCGCTTCGGTAGTGGCGAAGATCCATAATTCCCATCAGAAGTCGTAGGATCACAGCATTGAGTTCCCTGATATGGCTCTGTGCATCGAACATGTACAGAAACGGGATTGATAAACTGACGCGAACAAGACGCGTCGCACCGCCAGACAGGTGTGCTAGCTACACGTGTTTCGTGCATTAGCGCCGCCTGACTGTGCCGCATCGGGTTGCGCGCGCCAACACTCTCAGCTCTTGGGATGGAGCAGAGCCTCCCAACATTCAACGAAATGTTCAAGAAAGCGTTTTGGAAACGAAAAGAACGACCAATCACTGCGTCGCTTTCATCTGTCGCAAACAAAATGCCAGACTTCGTGCTTTTTGGAGACTCGCTCACCCAATGGAGTTTTAGCGAGGAAACGCAAGGCTTCGGGTTGTTTCTTAGGCAACAGTACCAGCACAAGGTACGCATCGTCAACGAAGGTAATCCGAATGAGTTCCTCCCACCATCTTTCACCTCGCATTTCGCGTAGACGCCTTCTCGTTTATCCTTTTTAAACTGAGTGATCAGGCGAGCTGCAAACATGGCTACTTCGGAGTCGTTGCCTAAGATTGTCTTGTTTGGCGCGTCCATGACCGAGTGGAGTTTCAAAGAAAAGACGCAGGGGATTGGATGGTTTCTCGGGAATCAGTACCAAGGGAAGGCAAGGGTTGTGAATGAAGGTACTACGGCATGATGTGCTAGCGCGTCGAGCAGCAAGAACAACATCGAAAGTCCAGATCCGATGCTGACAGGCACGATAGGCAAAGCAGGGTACAAATCCCAATTAATCTTGACGGTCGGCGCACTCACCAACCACGCAGCTACACGTCAACCCGTCTGAAAGCAGACTTTGCCCGTATAATAAGCAGCGCAACAGCCCCAGAGGCAGCACCGACCCTCCTCTTCACCATCTTCCTCGGTGCAAACGACGCCTGCTTCATCGGCGAGAAGGAGTATGTTCCCTGGCCCACCTTTTCAGCGAACATACGGGAGTTCCTCGACACCATCCTCACGGAGCAGGCTATGGAGAACACAAAGATAGTTCTGATCACGCCCCCACCCATCAATGGGTCTGTGGTAGATACTGGAGAAAGCAGGTCTGCAAGAGAAATACAGGAGATCAATGAGTCACGAAAGGAAGGACCAAGGTACAAGACTTACATGAGTAAGAAGAGGTATGCAGATGGGCTTATGCAGATCGCGAAAGAGTACGAAGAGACGGGCAGAGTTGTTGGACTCAACTACTGGCAGCACATGGTTGACGCAGTCGTTGCAGAAGAAGGATGGCAGTACGATGAGGATGTGCCGCCGGGGTGCGGCCTGCTGGGCGCGAAGTCATTTCCCGCGGGCTGGTTTACGGACGGGCTGCATCTCAATGTCCAGGGATATAGTGTGCTGAACAGGGAATTGTACGAGCTGGTGACGGCAAAGTGGCCAGAGTTAGCAGCCGAGAAGTTGTAAAGTCTTCCTTTAATTGTGCATTTGTTTTGCTGGGTATCTGATCTGCTGCTCAAACCACGCTCAACCTCTGTTCAAGGTGTTACCCGAGCCTTTAGGATTCGCCTCTACATACTCATCCCACGCTCGCTGCTTCATCGTCTCTTCGTCCGCGGCGACAAGATCGTCCTCGTTCGGTTCAGCCTGGATCTCAGACTGCGGGCCTCCACCCTCGATCATGCCACCCCGGCGCTTCTCTTCCTCTAGATATTCGTCAATCGTCATAGTTGGCAGGCTGTGATCCGGACGGAAAACGTTCTTCTTTAGGGTCTGACGGCTATCCAATAGCGTAAAAGGCCGCATGGGTTTGCCGTCGCCGCTCAAGATGGGGCCGGAATATCTCAGGCCGCCATACTGACCATCGAGGCGTTCGGAGTATCCGTCTTTATCTCTGCCGTCCTGTCGGCCGTCTGGCGCTTGCTGTTCCTGTCCTTGTGGGGGCGCGGGTGGGGCTAGCGAGATGATGTGCAGTTCTTGAGCCATTGACTCCAACGAAGCGAAAGTCTGATGCACCATGAACGCCAAGTTGGTCAAATGCAACTCTCGTACCACTTGCTCATCCTGCTCGGCAAGTTTGGGATTCTGTCGCAGATACTGTTGTTGCAGGCCTTAGCTCTAGGTTCGACCCTTGAAAGCAAAGTTAGTGTGGACACATACCTCTAGTTTCCGCTTCAATTCCTTCTCCTCCCTGAATCGCGAAATCTTTGCGTCCCGTCTCGCCGCGGCATCCCGCGTGTTGGCGGTAGAGAAGTTGTTCTTATCTTCCGCGTAGACTTCGAAGAGTTTCGCATCTGCCTTGCCAAGCACATCATAGGAATCTAAGAGCTTGAGAAATCGCTCATAGTGTCCCCGTGCCCGCAGTAGGTTCTGCTTCCGTAAGGCTACGTCGGTGTTGAAGATCTTCTGTACGAGTTCTGCCAAGTGGTAGTTTATCGCCATGTATCTAGAAGGGTAAGCGAGGGCCCACGTGCACGGTATCTTGCGGTTGTAGCATAACACGTACTGTAGATCAGACGACGATATGTCTTCCAGTGTCTCATTCGGACTGAAAAGCGACACCTGCTCGGATATTTTTAGGCATTCTTCGTACGTGGCGATTGTCGCGCTAAGGTTTTCCTGGTAGGTCGGACTGTTTGCTTCGTACGACGAAGAGAGCTCTGCGCGCGCCCTCTCCGCCTTTGAGAATAGACCTCGTAGACTCTGCGGCTCGTTCGTCATGGTAGTGGCGTTTGAGCGGGAAATTGTCGTGATGTTGAGGAAATGGCAGTGGGGACACACGTGAGAGCGTGAGCAGATGCTGATGAGTCAGCATTGCCCCTTCCCAGTTCGCGTACCCCGCTATCGCCGCCAACACACCGCGTCTGTGAAAGCGGTAACACCACAGTGACAAACGCCTGGTATGCTGCGAAATATCTCCGGCATGTTCAAACGGCTGCGGCTGTTTGATTGGGTCAGCACGAGCGGCTTCGGCTGAGCATGCGGCGTCGGGTACCTAAACTGTTTGTTTGCTCTCTTGCCCGAAGCAAGACGCGCGACAGTTGCGCAAATACCAGCAACGCGCTCTTGCCCTCGATTTTCAATCACACTCACCATAGGCTTTACCTCTCCAGACCTGTGATAAGCTTCGACTGCACCCACAGCATTGCGCCACGACAAACATGAGTTGGATAATATACGAGAAGGACGAACACTACCACTCCTTCGACGAGTCGTCCTCCTCTTCCGATTCTGACATTGAAGAGACCGCTACCAAGGATGAGTACCAGCGAGACTCAGATGAAGACCCAGATGGCGATGATGACACTGCACGTACGCATGGGCCGAAGACCACATCGGAGAGGCGCAGAGCGCAGAATGACGTCCTGAAGGCCTTTGCTGCTAACATCAGCTCTCACTTGACACAAAAGGAAGTTGACGATGCTGCTGCAAAGACCGCCAACGAAGAGCAACTTTCGATCCGCGACATACTCGCCAGACAAGAGGGCACAGTCCGCATCACGAACCCTCGCGACTATCAGACTGAACTGTTTCAGAGGGCCAAGAGTGAGAACGTAATAGCGGTCTTGGACACTGGCTCCGGCAAGACTCACATCGCAACTCTACTTCTACAGCATGTTCTCAATGACGAGCTCGAACGCCGGGCCGCAGGCGGCATCCACAAGATCGCCTTCTTTCTAGTCGACTCGGTCAACCTGGTCTTCCAACAAGCAAATGTCTTGCGTTGCGGCCTTGATCAGAAAGTGGAGGGCATATGCGGCGCCATGGGCGCATCGCTTTGGTCTAAAGCGACTTGGCAGAGCCATTACGAGAAGAACATGGTGATTGTATGTACAGCCGAGGTCCTTGTTCAGTGTATGATGCACTCCTTCATTACCATGGCTCAGATCAACCTCCTCATCTTCGACGAGGCTCATCATGCCAAGAACAACCATCCTTACGCTCGCTTGATGAAGGACTACTACGTACACGGACTGGACCCCTCCCATCGACCTCGGATCTTTGGCATGACAGCTTCTCCGATTGACACAAAGGGACTGTCGGTCGATCATATCAAAGAAGTTGCCAACGACCTCGAGAAACTACTTCATTCCAAGATCGTCACTACTTCGGAGGGTGCTCTCGCTTCGAACAGTATCAGCAGGCCTACCGAGGAGATCGCAGTGTATGCACGGCTACAAGACCAATTTGAGACGCCTCTGCACCAAGAGATAAAAGCAAAGTATGGGGACATACCGGCATTCAAGAAACTGTTCTTGGCCTCCAAGCGCTACGGTTCCGAGCTCGGACGCTGGGCGTCTGACATGTATTGGTCTTTTGCTTTCGCTGACGAGCAGAGCCGCAAGCTCGAAGATCGCGAGCACCTGAAGCATAACAAGGCTAAGCGAGATGACGCCGCGCAGGAGTGGGACGCCCAGTCCAAGCGCTTACAGGAAGCGGCCACATTCGTACAACAGTTCGATTTCGGTTTGTGTACCTTGAGCGACAAAGATTTGAGTTCCAAAGTTCTAAAACTTCACCACTGGCTCCAACTATACTACGAACGCGGCGATGAAGCGCGTTGTATCGTCTTCGTTGAGCAACGGCAAACAGCTCGGCTGCTTCAGCTCGTCTTTTCCCAGATCGGTGGACCGAACCTCCGCTGTAACGTGCTCGTCGGTGTCAACAATCGTGCTGGAGAGCACAACATCTCTTTACGGAACCAGATCCTTACGGTCGCCAAGTTTCGTCGCGGCGAACTCAACTGTCTGTTTGCTACATCTGTGGCGGAAGAAGGCCTTGATATCCCTCAATGCAACCTTGTCGTGCGGTTCGACCTCTATCGCACCATGATAGCGTACGTACAGTCTCGGGGCCGAGCACGGCATAGGAACTCGAAGTATCTCCATATGATTGAGCAGGGCAACGATGACCATCGCAGCCGGGTTTTC